ATAAATTGATAGAGGTAGAGAAAATATAACAAAGCAATAATGCTTGCAGTTAGAGAGGTTCCATTATATCAAAGGCGGACCACGTCCTATAACTCACCAATACTTTCCTTAAATGACTATCAGAGAGGAATCCTTTTTATAGGAGCTATAATCCAAAATTGAAAGATCCCTTTAGCTACAAGTATCAGATGGTTTGTTCAAGTGTTTCTATAGGACTATTATCCAGAATTGGAAGATCCCTTTAGCAACTGTCAGATGGTTTGTTCAAGTGTTTCCAAACTCCTTTAGTTATAAGCCCCAAATCCATACTGATTTGATTAAAAATCAAATATTAGTTTTATCTTATTTAGATTTAGAAAACTCAAACAAATATTAGGTGGGATACCTAATACAAATTGTTATGGTGTGACTATAGTTCTTGAATCTGCATTGCCGAACTCGACTCTTTTTTGGCTCAGCTGGTCTTAGCCGAGAGTTGTTTTGAACTAATGATAAGATGGTTAATCCTACTTCAGAAAGGAATTAGCTTACATATTGGCTTGAAGATAAGGATAAAGAGAAAAGAATTATCCTCAAACTTTGTTGCTTGGTTCCTTGTACACATAGGAGACCTAAGACCTGGTGATTCCTACATCAGTGGATTATGATCAAAGATTATATCTTATACAAATTGATTGGTAGCCATCTTATAAGCATGCCATATCAAAATTCAAAGCCATCAGAAACAAAGGGCACATCAAAGCTCTTTTTGGAGCAGTCGTATATTACTCGGTTGTTGACTCTTCTATTTGTGTGAGAGATTGCTTTGGGCTTTTGGGGAGTTGTTTGGGATTAGTGATTGAGAGATCTCTACCATTGTACTCACAATTTGATAGTTGACTATGTACTCCTCACAATTTGATAGTTGACTATTCTACCTGTGTGAGAGATATTCTCCTCCTTCACTCATGGACGTAGGCTACATGCCGAATCGCATTATATCTGTGTGTTTTATCTTCCCAATATTTTATGTGCTTTCTTGTGATCGTTATTTGTTTATCTAGGAAATTTTACATAACACAAATAATAACCGTCTAAATAATAGATACAAGTTAGATCGGGAATGATTATGGACTATAATATGAATAATTATTCAAAAGAATTTGAAGACAAGTGCATGACATAAATTTCCTAGAGATATTACATTGATAACTACATGACACCATTTAGTCATTCTTTGCATGGATATGTTACACAGTCTGCCCCTGTTCATTAAAGGCTTACGGTTAGATTTTAAATATTAATGATTATTATTGTCATTCTATTCTAATTTGTTCATCAGTTTCCCCTTTATCAAATTCCATGAGATTTGTACTTTGTACATATGATGCATTTGAGTAATAGCGTTGTAACTGACAAGTATAATATAGACTGATATGTCGCATTGTTGCAAACTCTTGGTCGAGGACCATTTGATTGGAAGTCCACTTGTACTGCAATATTTTTTTTCACAAAATTTCTAATTAACCTACCATACACAATTTTTTAAAAAAAATCTTGACCTTTTTGCACATATCTAACTTTAATTCTAAGTTCTCCTTTTTGGAGAAAACCTATGAAGTTGTGGAAGTAAAAGTTTCCTGCTTTGTTGATACACGAGAAACGTAAACTAGCTTAAAAATAGTAAATGTTACTACGATTTTTATGTGGACACGCCACTAAGGGGAAAAGCCACGAGACTTAGTCTATATCAGAACTTCCACTATCTCTTAGGGATACTAGTGATCAACAATCAACAATACACTTCACTTTGAAGAGCGGATAACATGAATCACTTACTAAAGGTGGAAAACAAAGAACTGTAAGGACTCTGATTGATGCTGGATATGAGCACTAAGACCTCAGGAATAACACTCTAAAATTTCGTCTCGAGGATGACCTTTGCCCTTTGATCGAAGATGAACTCTCTGTTGGTCGGAAAATTTTGACTATTCACACATGTTTTCTCTTGATTTATCTCCCCTTTTACTAAGCCTTTCTACCAACCAATAAGTTCTTTATATAGTTATTTCCTAGTCGATTTCAGTGCACAAATTTATGACATAATTACTCTTGCATATTTTCAAAAGCAACCTTCAAAATCCTTGGGCTTTGCATTCTTCAATGCACTCTTGAAGCTTCCATGATCCACACCTTTTATCCTTTTAGGATTTAGGAGTTTGGATCCCACTAGCAAGGAAATACTCAACGCAAGGTTTTAAATATCGGTTATCGGGAATTTATCGGACGGCCAAAATACTTATCGGATAGCGAAAATCGGGGATATATCGGGGATAAGTAGTATTTATCGGAGTGATATACGGAATGGTGTATATATATAATATAATAACTAAAAAATGTAATCTAACCATGCTTAATGAAATATAAACATACCAAAATGTAAATCATCATGTTTAGAATCACTAACCAATTGTAGAAAGAAAAACTTACATCTTGACCGCACGATGAAACCATTCGATTGCATAGCCTTACTTATCGGCCGATAATCCCGATAAAAAAACCTTACTTATCGGCCGATAAGTACCGATAACGTCGATAACTCCCCGATAACTTGCCAGAAACGATAACCGATTAAAAATCCAAGTTATCCTATCGGAGAGCTCCCAAATCCGATAACTCGGCCGATAATATCGGTTATCGGCCGATATTTAAAACAATGACTCAACGTATCTCCTCCGTCCGAGTAGGTAGAAGGCACAAGCAATATTGTTTTCTTACAAGAAGTTTTAAGCTTCTCCATGGGAAGAGATTTTGTGATCATGTTTGACTCGTTGTCATTAGTACGAATCTTCTTAAGTCACATGAACTTGGACTTCAACACATCTCGGGTTCAATGTTAAAGCACATTGATATTCTTGGTCTGAGAATGATTAGTAGGATTCTTTGTTAGATGGATGATCCTCTGACTATCATAATGAAGTGAATATTTCTCCTGATCCAGCTCCAGTGCTTTCAAAAAATTCTACATCCAGATAACTTACTTGGATGCCTTTGTAGCAGCAATATACTCTGGGCTTCATTAGTTGAGTGAGGTACACTTTTGCAATTTGGACTACTATGACACCGCTCTCCTTAGGAAAATCATAACGTAACTTGAAGTGGACTTCTAAGAATCGGAATCACTAGCTATGTATGCGTTTGTATATCCATCAAGCTACAAATATGATGATGAAATCTCTTCCCATTAAGAAGCTTGAATCTTCTTGAAAGAGAAGGTTGGTTGTGTTTCCAGTGTAACTTTGGAAAGGAAGATTCGTTAGGAGTTCTCTTCTAGCTGGGTGCAAACTCCTAGAAGAATAAAAGGTGTTAGACCATTGAAGTTTGATGAGTGCGTTTGAGTGTGTATAGCATAGGGGAGTTTGAAGGTTGCTCTTGGAAATATACAAGAGTAATTATGTCAGTACTTTGTGTATTGGAAATTGACTAGGAGATGATTATATAGAAGGCCTATTGACTAGTTGAAAGACATAGCAAAAAGCGAGAGAAGTACAGACTAGAGAGAAAACAAGAGATTTTGTGCAGTTTGAATTCTCTGGTTAGCATAGAATTTCCTTGTTGATCGAAGGGCATGAGTTATCTTATCAAGACGAAATTCAGAGTGTTGTTTTTGAGGTGCTGGTGCACACATTCAACAGTCGGATTGTCAATCTGAGTCCTACAATTCTCTGATATCGATCTTTCGATGAGTTCGTTTCATGTTATATGCTCTTTGGAGTGAAGTGTATTGTTGATAGGTGATGAAAAGTGATGGAAGCCACTTGGAGCTCTTGTGTTACTGTACTCAGTGATGTAGAGTTAAAAAGTGATGGCAAGCAACAGCATCTTGGAGCTCTTGAGTGTGGGTGTACTCAGGTTCTTCAAGTAATGTGAGATGGGCGAGGGTTACAAGTTGTACTGTTCAAAACTTGTACCGGCTTGTGAAAAAAGTGAATTTGAGGAACCATGGAGGTATGCACGTTTACCCGAACCATGTAGAAAATCATTGTATTCTTGTTGCCTTTCTTAGTTGTGGTGCTTGTTTTGCAGTCCATAATCCCACTCCTGCTATTCAAAGGTCTTGCTGAATAACTCTCGTTAAACAACTCTTTAGTGTTGGACACATTTCACGGCCTTCACTTTTATCAATTAACTGTAAATTAAGTATTGGTAGAGAGATCAATTCTAGAATTCAGTCACGTAGGAGAAATTTTACCATGCTCTGAATTACTGCACCACGTGAATTGTGATTCTCATGCCTGAAGACAACTTAGGCATGATTTTGAAATTAAACTTTGGTGCTCAGTGGTAAGCTATCTATAGATGAAAGGATCTGCTGATTGCATTCAGAGTCTCATTTTATCATTTGCATGCAATTTATGTCACAGTTAGGCTTAGGTGGAAATATGAAGGTGCAGATGTGGGTTGTTTTTGTGGTTATTTGAGAGCAAATAATTCTAGTTCTCCATGGTCAATAATGCCATGTTGTTATTATTGTTTAGCGCTTTATTTGTTTCTTGTAAGGATCAATTACTATTTGCTGGGCATTTGCTCTAGTCTCATTGACACTTTTCATGGTAATTTTGTCCCACACTTCGGAGGTGCTTTTGAGAGCAACATTTGTTGATAAAATTATCTTATCAACTGCTAATTATAATCTATTAGAATTCTTTTAAAAATTTCATGTTGGCCTCTGTCGTATGATGTTTATTGGATCAATGTATGATGTACATGGTTAGAAATTGGTAGGATTGTTCAGTAGTTGAGTAAATTTTCTTTTACTAATGCTTACAGGAAAGAATCAAGAACCTCTGCAGATTTCTGAAGAGGAGTACAAAAAGACAGTAAAGATAAATGTCATGGCACCATGGTTTTTGCTTAAGGCTGTTTCTAAAAGAATGCGGGATTTCAAAACTGGAGGATCTATTGTGTTCTTGACCTCAATATTAGGTGCAGAAAGAGGATTGTATCCCGGGGCTGCTGCCTTTGGTTCATGCATGGCTTCAATACAACAATTAGTTCGAGTAAGCACATTCTCACATGTTTCTGCTCATAATGCTTTTTTTAGTTGAATCGGCATTTGACTCTTTTGGTGAATAGCACATCTATTTGACTGTTCCAATCACAAAAAATTGTTATCATGCATTAAAATAGGATGCTTTCTTTACTAATTGGATACCATATATTTCATGTTTCCCCTTGTATAACAAAGTTATGTTGATATTATAAATATAGTGAATTTTATTGGTGCTAAGGAAGATGTTATTGTCATGGCATGCATTGGAAAAGGTAGTTCTATATGAATCAGAAGTGGGATCTTATGTAACGGGATCCTATCATCTGTTTAGGTATCACAATCTGAAACAAATTGCAATGAATGGGTTACTCAACACATAATGAAACTCATCTCATGTGGCCAAATAAGATCATGTCTAACTTACATTAGTTTTATCAAAATCCTTCCATTATATAAAGTTCCTTGCTCTCATATATATGGAGTTCAAATTTCGGATGCTGGGAATAAGAAATCAGAGATTAGGAGAGTGTAGATGAAAAAGAAAAAGCTTTTCAGAAATTTGTCCCTGACAAACTTTGTATTTGAATGTAAGTTGTCACAAATTGTTATTTTGATATTGGTCCCTTACAATATTAATCACACTGGAATAAAGAGTTTCTCTGGTGATGTCCATCAGTTTAAGACTAACATTCTGTTGACTTTCAACAGAAGATTGGATTTTAACTTCTCTCTCGTGTTCTCTTTAAGGTGCTTACACTCCTTTAGTGAACCCAGCCATCCGAAAATTCCTATTAAAAAAAAAGTCTGTTCAACCTTTGTCGCAATAATAAGAAAGAGCTATATGTTCAAGTTGTAAATAACATTAAAGCCCATGGCATTGATAGATCAAGATATATTGTTAGCCAATTTAGCCTAAATGCTGTAGTTCCAATTGGTAGTTTTTATATAAACCATGAAGCAGCCCAAATCTCCTGAGCATTTTACCTTCATGTAACCTTGATGCTTGTGCAGTGATCAATTCTTGTCAGAATCAGAGTTTATATAGGGTTGCCAGTAATTTGGCAATTGAATACCAATCATGATTTCTTGCTGAAATTTCAGATCAATAAATTCAACACATCAGGATTGGAATCTTGTGAAACTAAGCTTGGTAACTTTGCTCATATTTTTTTTGTAAACCTAGTGAAGCTTAAGTCAATGCAAGTTGAATTTGCACAGTGTTACTTGTGCTCCAATTTGTTACCAGCTCGTAGACTCGGTTCTTGAAGATAAAAAGTTAATTTCAGAGAAGGGTGATAATTAGGCTCAAATGTTAACGCTGAAACTATGGTTGTACTAGGAAATTGGAAGGGGGAAAACTTATTGGATCCATAGTAAGAGTCATACTGTGAGGGACTAATATCAAAATGCTGATCTTTGAGAGACTAATGTCTAAATATAATAGGTCGGACACCTGAAAACCCCTAGAAAGGTTCTTGCTTCCTATTCAAGGAGTTACTTATCTCTATCTTTTCATGAAATTGGGAGCCTAATTTTTTTTCTTTTTTCTTCTTTTTGTCTTGCTAATTTTTATTTTTCTTAAATAAGAATGGTCAGCTATTAGGAATTGTTAGTAAATTTAAGAGCTGCTGTTTTTCTCAGTCTTCTGTTCTGTTTTATGAAGGTCCTAGTCTTTAGGAGCACTAGCTGTTATCTCTATTTTTCAGTAGGTTAGTTGCTGTTTTTCAGGTCAAGTAAGTGTCTAGGAACGTGTCCCTGTTAGTAGCAGAAAATGAGGAATTTAGTTATGGGTCATTGTGTATTTTATTCTGCATTTTTTATGATCAGTATTTTGATTTTCCCCCTCTTTCCAGTTCTACTCTCTTTATCTATCTCCTTTCAAATAAAATCAACAGCTCTGAAAGAAAAGAGAAGAAGTGGAAAGGGAAGAAGGGAAGTGACAGTAACTTAGAGGTTGCTGCAGGAGAAGGCAGTGCAGGCAACAAAGGAGGAAGATATTCTCCATGCAAGCACTGTGGTAAAAAGAATCATCCCCATTTTTCATGTTGGAGAAGGCCAGATGTAAGGTGCATGAGATGTCAAAAAATGGGACACATTGAGAAGTTTTGCAAGGAGAAGGGAGACCAGCAGCAAGGTGAAGCACATGCTGTAGTCTAGCAAGAGGTAGATCAGCTGTTTGTTGCCTCTTGTTTCATTTCTAGTACCCCATGTGACAGTTGGCTTGTTGATAGTGGTTGTACAAACCATATGACAAGTGATGAGAAACTGTTTAGAAACCTTGATAAGTCAATAAAATCAAGGGTGAGAATTGGAAATGGAGAATACTTAGCAGTAGAGGGTCGAGGGACTGTGGCTATGAAGAGTTGTGCAGGGATTAAGCTGATTTCTGATGTAATGTATGTTCCTGAGATTGATCAGAACCTGCTAAGTGTGGGGCAGTTGGTAGAAAATGGATTTAAGGTAACATTTGAAGAAAGAAAATGTTTGATCTTTGATTCTAGTGGCCAGGAGTTGTTCAAGATAAAGATGCAGCAAAAAAGTTTTTCTCTGAATCCTCTCGAAAAGGAGCAAGTGACATTCAAATGTCAGGCCAATGATTCAGAGATATGGCACAAAAGATTGGGGCATTTTCACCACAAAGGCTTGCAGTTCATGAAAAAAAAAAAAAGATGGAAAAAGGGTTACCAAACCTGGAGGAGCAACTCTCAAGCTGCAAAACTTGTTTGATGGGCAAGCAAGCCAGACTTCCCTTCAAGGAGTCAACTTGGAGAGCTACAGAGAGGCTGCAGCTGATCCATACAGATCTCTGTGGACCACAAGCAACTCCTTCACTAAGTGGCAGCAGGTATTTCATTATCTTCATTGATGACTATACAAGAATGTGCTGGATTTACTTCATGAAGCAAAAGTTAGAAGTTGCTGAAGTGTTTCTTAAGTTTAAAAGATGGATTGAGAATCAAAGTGGCTGTAGGATTCAAGTCATTAGATCTGATAATGGCACAGAATACACTTCACAGATGTTTAAGCCTTTTTGTGAGGAAGCTGGAATCCAGCGTCAACTCACTGTCCCATACTCTCCACAGCAAAATGGAGTTAGTGAGAGGAAAAATAGAACCATTATGGAGATGACCAGGTGTCTGTTGCATGAGAAGAATCTGCCAAAGGAACTTTGGGCAGAAGCAGCAAATACAGCAGTTTTTCTGCTGAACAGACTGCCTACAAGGGCATTGGAGAAGAAGACACCCTTTGAAGCATGGTTTGGTGTCAAGCCAACTCTAAAAAACTTGAAGGTGTTTGGCTGTCTATGCTACTCTTACATTCCACAGGTCAAGAGAGACAAGCTGGAAAAGAAGTCTGAAGCAGGAGTATTTGTAGGCTACAGCCTTGTGTCAAAGGCCTACAGAATATATCAGCCAAAGTATGGAAAGGTAATCACTAGTAGAGATATTCAGTTCTTGGAAGCTGAAGAGTGGAATTGGGCTAATGACACTCAGAATGAACCAGAGAAAATGTCCTTGGAATTAGAAGAGCTGGTGGATGACATTCCAGTAAGAGGCACCAGATCTTTAGTTGATATATACCAGAGGTGCAATGTGGCTGTTCTGGAGCCAACAGGCTTTGTAGAAGCCAAAGATGATCAGAGATGGATGAGTGCAATGAAAGAGGAGCTGGCTATGATAAAAAAAAATCAGACCTGGGAGTTGGTGGAGAAGCCTAAAGACAGGAAAATCATTGGACTGAAGTGGGTCTTCCGGACTAAACTCAATCCTGATGGCTCAGTGAACAAACATAAGGCCAGGTTAATAGTAAAAGGTTATGCACAAGTTTGGGGAGTAGACTTCTCTGAAACATTTGCACCTGTAGCAAGGTTAGATACTATCAGACTAGTTCTTGCCTTAGCTGCTCAAAAGGGTTGGAAAGTGTATCAGTTAGATGTCAAATCTGCATTTTTAAATGGAGAGTTGCAGGAAGAGATTTATGTTGAACAACCAGAAGGATTCATCGTACCAGGTCAGGAGGAGAAGGTTTATGTGCTGAAGAAGGCTCTGTATGGCTTGAAGCAAGCACCTAGAGCATGGTACAGCAAGATGGATGGGCATTTGCTGAGTCTAGGCTTTAAGAAGAGCCTAAGTGAGTCCACTTTGTATGTTAAAGAGTTGGATTCTGACTTGATTATTGTATCTCTCTATGTGGATGACTTGCTGGTAATAGGAGGAAATGAGGCTCAGATCATTGTGTTCAAGCAGAATATGATGAAGATGTTCAAAATGACTGATTTAGGTGAAATGTCCTACTTTCTTGGCATGGAGATCAAACAAGCTCAAAACGAGATCTTCATATGTCAAAGGAAGTACTTGAAGGAGATCTTGAAGAGGTTTGGTATGGAGGAGTGCAAGAGTGTGAGTACTCCAATGGGTAAGAAAGAAAAACTAGAGAAGAATGATGGAGCTGACCCTGCAGATGAAGGTCTTTACAAGAGCTTAATTGGTTGCCTAATGTACCTCACAGCAACCAGATCAGACATCATGTTTCCCGTAAGTGTTCTGTCCAGATTTCTAAACTGTGCTAGTGAGTTGCATATGGTAGCTACAAAGAGGGTGCTGAGGTACTTGAAGGGTACTATCTCATATGGGATTAAGTTCTGCAAAGTTCAGGATTTTAAGTTGCATGGTTATTCTGATAGTGATTGGGCTGGATCAGTGGAAGACATGAGAAGCACTTCTGGTTATTGCTTTACATTTGGGTCAGGATGTTTCTCTTGGTGTTCAAAGAAGCAAGAGCTGGTGGCTCAATCAACTGCAGAAGCTGAGTTCATTGCAGCAATTGCAGCTGCAAATCAAGCAATATGGTTGAAGAAGCTGATAGATGATCTGCATGTGCATCAAGATGATAACATAGAGATCTTTGTGGACAATCAGGCCACTCTGGCCATCTCACAAAATCCTGTCTTTCATGGAAGAACAAAGCATTTCAAAGTTAAGTATTACTTCTTAAGGGAGGTGCAGAGATCAGGTGAAGTGAAGCTGGTGTATTGTAGTTCAGAAAATCAACTTGCAGACATATTCACAAAGTCATTTCATGTCGGTCGTTTTGAGACTCTTAGGGACAAGTTGGGTGTATGTGCAGCTCAAAATTCAGGAGGAGAATGTTAGTAAATTTAAGAGCTGCTGTTTTTCTCAGTCTTCTGTTCTGTTTTATGAAGGTCCTAGTCTTTAGGAGCACTAGTTGTTATCTCTATTTTTCAGTAGGTTAGTTGCTGTTTTTCAGGTCAAGTAAGTGTCTAGGAACGTGTCCCTGTTAGTAGCAGAAAATGAGGAATTTAGTTATGGGTCATTGTGTATTTTATTCTGCATTTTTTATGATCAGTATTTTGATTTTCCCCCTCTTTCCAGTTCTACTCTCTTTATCTATCTCTTTTCAAATAAAATCAACAGGAATACATTTCTCTTTTTTATTTTTTAAGATAATCAAAGCGCTGTAGTGGACTCAAACATGTGAATTCCCACAACCCTTTTGCCACCTGGGCTTTGAATCTTGTCCTCCAGAGAATTTTTGATGATTTTAACTCATTGACCAGTAACGATGAATATCTTTATATTATCTTTATGCAGCAGATACAGCTTTAAAGTTTAAATACATGATATTCTAGGTGCTCATATGTTAACGGAAGTAAAACTTACGTCTAAACGGTGCTTTATAACTGCTTACCATAGATCTTGTAGCATACAGAACTTTGTTAAATATTTTAGCTTGGTATGTCAAAAATGAGGAGCTGTTCAGTGAACCATATCCATTGGAGAGTGAGTTGTTCCAATCTTTGACGGCTTAAAACTCAGGCAGAACAGGGAAGTTTGGGGATCAATACACTGAATCAAGGGTTATTCCTTTGTAGGAGCGGGAATTGATTGAATAATTATTAAATGGTTGTTCCTCTAGTTGTTGTGTTATATTCGATTCAGTGACCTGTTCATTAGAAAATACATAATTTGTAGTATTTGGTTCCTAGAGAATCAAATTTAACAAGTTGCATATTTGAATTTTTTATTATTTAATATTCGTATTTATTTTCATTTTATAAATCAAATTTACTGCAAACCCTTCCTGTCAAATTTTTTTTGATGTCATTTGTTAGGTTTTATACTAGATCAAAACATATTTCCATTGCTCTATTGTCGTTTGCTCTATATTATAGTTGTATATTCTGGTGCACGTGTGATAAGTTGCTGACTTTTGTTACCTAAAAATCATTGAATAATTAATGATTATCAAATAACAAAAAAAAAAAAAAAAAACAAATACGCATGTTAGATGAATATTAAAAAAAAAAAAAAAAAAAAAAAAACAAATACGCATGTTAGATGAATATTCATGAATAAGTGTCGGAACCCAAAATATATAAACAAATCAAATTCAAATACTGCCAAGTAACTCAAACATGGTCACCCTGCAGATATCAGCAATGGAGATGGGGAAGCACAGAATCCGTGTCAATGGCATTTCTCGAGGCCTTCACCTAGGCGATGTGTACCCAACGGCTATAGGAAGGGAGAAAGCTGAGAAGCTTACTTCTGAGGTGATGCCTCTTCAGAGGTGGCTCGATCCCAAGAATGACTTGGCTTCCACCGTGCTCTACTTGGTGTCTGATGACTCCCGCTACATGACTGGCACAAGCATCTTTGTGGATGGAGCTCAATCGCTTGTGAGGCCTCGAATGAGATCGTTCATGTGATGCCGAACAGTCATGTTGGAGCCTGCTAGAATAAGTTAAACATTTCCATTGTTTTTTTTTTGTGAGAATAATATCATAAGTTTTTAAATTATTAGATGAACATCACAAACCTTTCGTGATTATCCAACAAAAGAGGAGAGTTGCACTATATTTAACTGAATTGAAAAAAATTGCTTGTGTTTTAAGGAAAAATTGTGTCAAGGCCTAAAAAAAAACCATGTGGTCAGCTCCCTAGTATTATTTGCAAGTGAGATAACCTCAAATATATCAACAAATTGTTATTTAGCCCTTTTATACCAAGCCAAGTCATCACAGAGAGATTTTTCAGAAAATCCTATGTTTACTCCTTATACTGTTCCTTCAGAGAGAGAAAATCCCATGTTTACTCCTTACACTGTTCCTCCAAAAAGCTCTCTCTCTCTCTCTCTCTCTCTCTCTCTCTCTCAATCCCTAGTAACTTCAAGAGAACCCAAAAAACCCTAGATTTGATCTCAAACCTCTAGAAAATCCATCAAAAATTTGTTTAAAAAAAGGAGAAAGATGGCCAAAAGCCCTAATTTGGAGAAGGGTGAAGGGGACAACAACGAATTCGAAGTGGTTTGTTGTCATCGTCCCTTAGCTACGATGACGAAGGCGGCTTTGCGAGAATCATCCGCCTTTGCATCTTTATTCCCCGCCGCTGGTTCTTCTTCTCCGACTCCCGCCTCATCTACGAATGACGACAGTAATGAAGCGACAGTGGCCCTCTTGTGCATGAAAAGGGGACCGAATTTTTGAGAACGGAAGAGGAGACGTTCAATACAAGTTAACTTTTATCAATAGATGTTAACTTTTGTTAGGAGGTGTTAACTTTCATTCATAGGTGTTAAGTTTTATAAATGGTTGTTAAGTTTTATCCTTTGTTGTTAATTTTTACCATTGGATGTTAATTAATGTAATGAATATTAAGAATTTGAATGATTTGTTAGAGTAAATATTTGTTTATACAGGAAAAAGAATGCATCTGTAGGTGAAATAAGGCATATACCAAGTTTTGGAACCTACTATGAATTCATGAATGATCATGAACCAAAGATGAAGGAGGGGCATTTGAATGTCTATGATGGCAATAATTTTGAGCACTATATTTTATTTGGACCCCAAGCGGTAGATTGACCAACACTAGAACATGTGTTGAGTTATTATACTGGTAAACAGGATGAATTCTCTTTCCTGGACGACAATGTTAGTCAAATTTGATGAGGAGTGGGTGCAAGAACATACGAGATTCCCAATTGACGGGGAATTAATTTATGAATATAGAGACCCGCATAACCGACAGTGGAGGGAATATTTTGAAGAAAAAAAGAATTGATGAAGGCAAAGGGGCAAGAGAAAGAAGCAGCTAATAGCATGCGAAGATATGTTGAAGAGTTATTGAAGACACTTGTTGAGTCAAATTCAAAGAAGGATGTGCAAGATTTTGTTTCACTCCAGATTTTATACCAATGCGCAATGATTTGATACTCTAATAGCTCAGAAGATATCCCTAGACTATTGTTCTGATACGTGGATAGCATTGAGAGAGTAAAGAATATTGCATTGGACAAATTTATTTTTAATGAGACAAAGAGAAGCATTTAAATTGCCTTGGAAGGAATGAGAAAATTAGGAGTTGCATATGTACCTGGATGCATGCCACTCATTCCCGTAAGTTGCATGTTCATGTGGTTTGCTTTTTGTTTTACTTATAGCAGTTTTCATAATTATGATGAAAGTTAACACACATCAGAAAACACGTACAAGTGTGCAAGTTAACAGGATAGTGTGAAAATTAATAGGATATTGTGAAACTTAACATGTACACATGAAAGTTAACATGTTAGTATGAAATTTAACATGTAAGATTAAAAGATAACAGGAAATTTTGTAACTTAATATTTAAGGATGAATGGTAGCAAGTTGGACTGATGTTTAACAAAAAGTTTTTAAACTTAACAAGAAGCTTTAGAACAAACATTTTCTACAGCTCCTTCATCTTTTTCATGTTAACTGTAGTATTATTATTTTATCAAAGTTTAAAAACTATTACTTTCTATTTTGATAGCTACGATACTATGAGACAACCGACATTAAAAAAACCAACCCTTAACTTGAGATAGTAGCCCCCGTTGACTAATTAGGTACTGAAGGGAGAAAAGACTAGGCCCATGAGGAGGGATACAATTGCTTAAAAGGTAGAGAAAACAAGCATTGAAATGGTAGAGAAATCAATTGCTGAAGTTGGCCCACGGAGTGAGAAATACCACTCGTAGAAAGCCCAATTTGAGGTCGGTTGACATCTCTCATCGCGAAAGAAAAAGAATCCATATCATCTCTATCATCTCCTGCAGGAATAAAGTTATGGAGCAATTGCTGCCAAAGAAAGTTGTTTAGAAAAACAAGAAGGAGAAGCCGGAAAAGGTTAGGGAGAGAACTAAGCGCTCGACAGTAGTTATGTAAGCGTTTTAAATTCTTTACACATACTTACTTTTTATTGTTTATTATTTCTTATTAACTATCATATCTGATTGTTTATCCGCATAGTATCGTAGCAACTTTATTTCTTACATGCTAGTTTGATTGTTGCGTGTTAAATTTCATTGTTGCATGATAATTTTTAACTTTTGAGAATTACATGTTAATTTACATTCTTTTCTGTTAACTTTGGAGTACATGTTAGTGTACATTGTTTCATGTTAGCTTTCAGTGTTACATGTTATTTTTAATCATTTACTGTTAACTCTCACTATAACATGTTAACTTTCATCGCTATGTGTTTGCTAGAGTAGTGTTATATGCCCTTAAATATCCAATATATCTTTATTGAATATTAATTAAGTTTTATTGTTGCACATGTTGTTTGAGTATCTTTTATATAATTGTTATATTATCCTTAGAATTATTTTGTTAGATCATGCACTGTGATGATCACTTGTATGGAAATATGATCCAATTCAGAGGATTCTTTAACTTTGTGCTTAACCTATAACTAGTAAATGATAGCTTTGTTATAACATGTTATTATGCATGACAACAACATATAAGATATGATTGTTGATCTCAGCTATCAGGAATGAAGATTCCTCGGGTGTATGTCATAAGCGCATATTTGATATGTGTAGTACAAGACCTTCTTTGGATTCTCTAGGATGAGTCACCTAAGAGATAGAGAATTTGAATTGTTACGTGATCCCTTAGATTTGATGATATTATCATTTTTGATTTGATAATTTAGTATACTTTGATATGATGGTTAAGATTGTTTTACAAGTGCTATACAACCTGAAATATTAAGTTATTAGATTTTATTTAGGGAAATGATGGATATCTAGATAGGATCCGATATACTCATTTTTATGAGTTAATTTATAATGCATATCCCATGAAGGTATTACATTCCTGTCGACGGGCGATTTTTAAAAAATATTTTTCTAAATTTATTTTTTTATAAGATAAAATATTTTGTTGTTTCAAAATGAATTTTATTTATGTTCATGGGATTGTAATTTTAGGAATGAACAAATATGTGATTTGTCCTACTCAATAAAGTTGCCTAAATTAAATTGATACTGGAGGGGACTGAATGTAAGATAATATTATTCATGAATATTTAATCTCATATTATGAAAGAGCTTTTATGAATAATTGGTCGGATAGGGGTTTGGTTGTTAAATTAAAATTATTAATTTAATTAATTATTGGTTCTCGATATGGGACCCAATTAGTCTTACTAATGTCATTAGAAGAGGTTTACATGTAATACAATTCTATTTCTATCCTAATTATTATGGAAAGAATATTTTATCTTTAAATGTTATGGATAGTTTTAAACAATTAAGATTTGTTTTGAAATTAAAATCCATAAGGCAGGTCCATTCCTATATATAGGATTCATATGTAGCTTTATGAAGAAGAGAAAAAAGAAGAAGAAAAAAAAAAGAAAATAGATTTTGAGAACCTATCTCTCAGTATTATTCCTCTTCGATGGTGAGTGGATTTTAGTTAGAGTTTTTTTCTCTTGAGGAAACTATTTGGTATTGATCTTGGGACAAATTATCGAAAAAATCGGAAAGCGTTTTAGGTATTCTTCTGGATTTTAATTAATTTTGATTAATCTACATGATATGCAATTTTTTTTCAACAAATGGTATCAAAGTGAGTTTAGAATCCAATATGTAATAATTTAATCAGATTAAATTATCTTGATTTGATCTTTATTTTTGGATTATTTAATTGAATTAAATTAAAATTTTGATTAAAATCAATATTAGGGTTCTGTTACTGTTCATGAGCGAATTTCATAAAAAACGGGGATTGTTTACCGATGATGTTACTGTTCACCGTCGTAAGTAATGTTTACTGACGTCATTACTATTCACCAACGGTTTTACTGTTCACCGTAGAATTATTATTTAGTTTAATTTTTAAATTGAAATTAATTATTTTTGAGATTCGACTATTGTTCACGGGTTAAATTTTTTATGATTAGATCAAAGAAATTTAGTTATGGTTTTTGTATTGTTCTTTTTCAATTGTTGAATTATACGGTTCTTGATCCCGCGATGTCCATCGAATGGATGGCTGTACTCCGCGGCTGGCCATCCCACAAACCCTAGCCAAACCCTAAACCTAGTTGAAGAAGAAGTCTTGGGTTATTTTTCTTAACAGGTTATGAACTCAAACCCATTAAGAATTAAGTTTAAATTAAATGGGTTTGACCCGAATCCAAATCTAAACCCAATCCGTTTTTAAATTAGATTTAAAATTAATGAAACGTGTCTGACCCGCAAACAAAACCCAAACCCAAAACTGTAATAATTTGAATTTTACTGTAAAATTATTATCGGACCCCTATTTGACCCAGAAACTATTCTCAAGTCCACCAGTGTTGATTTTTTACTATAAAATTAGTTTTAGCCCCCTGTTTAAACCAGAAACTATTCTGTAACCCATCTGAAAGTAGTTGTTATTTTCTAATTAACCCTTAACAATTGTAGAATTTATTCTGAAGCCTATATACATATATAATCTATTTTCTTGTGTTGAAAAAATTATTTAACTCTTGTTGATTGATAATGTGTAATTGTATTCTTGAAATACTTGTTTAAATTATAATGTAACATGGTTGTATTGTTTTTAAATTGTTTAATTTTATTTTTTCATGAGATTAA